CAACCAAAAAAACCCTCTCATTTCAATAGTTGTCACACTACTAGTGAAAATACAAAAATACTTACACCCAAAGAACACTTAATAAGGTTTATTCACTAAACACAGCATTGTGGTGAAAATCTAACTGCAAAATGTAAAAAAAAAATCTAACTAAATTTAAAGTTTATTCTAAAATAGGTAAGCTGTGATTATAGCTGACTTGGCATTTGTTTCCTGCTAGGCTGGTCTAACATGTGTCTTTAAGTTTTCCGTCCTCTATACTCTATAATTCTATTGTATCTGATAAAGGTATCAGTGGCTGATCTTAAAGGAATACTCTAGAGTTAGAAATACAAACACTACAGTGCCAGACTACCTATTTAGGCTTCCGTCCCCCACAGCATGGAGTTTAAAAAGGTTTTAAAGTTAGCAGGTCATCAATCCCATAGGATTGCATTGTGAGGCTACTGCGCATGCATGTCAATTAGCATCTTCTCATAGAGATGCAATCAATAAATGCATCTCTACGGGAATGTTCAGTGCCTCCATGCAGAGCGTGGAGGCACTGAACGATGGTGCTGCACGCATTGATGCACTGTAGTAGGAAGCACCGCTAGTAGCCATCTGAGTGACAGCCACTAGAGGTGTTACTTGGCAGCAATGTAAACACAGCCTTTTCTCTGAAAACACAGTGTATACATTGCGGAGTCTGCAGGGACTGACAACAGACACCAGAACCACTACATTAAGCTCTAGTGTGCAACCTTGTGTAGCTCTGAGTCACAGCCAGGGGAGGTGTGACTAGGGCTACATAAACAAAGCGGTTTAACTCCTAAATGGAGATAATTCAGCAGTGTCAGTGCAGGGGCATGATATATACACCAAAACCATTTATTTAAAGAGACACTATAGGCACCCAGACCACTTCATCTCAATGAAGTGGTCTGTGTCCCATGTCCCTGTCATTTTAACTCTGCAAAGTAAAACATTGCTGTTCAACGTGGACGGCATTGTTTACATTACAGGGTTTAAATCTCTCTAGTGGCTGTCACTTTGGCCATTTGATTGATCATCTGATTGAGGCCGTGCATTGCCGCGTTTGAACACTATCCTCTCACTATAAGTCTTGATACTATTATCTTGCTTTCTTATCAAATCTTATTTATGTTATTATTTTATTGTACAACTTTAAACAGAAAGCTCTGACCTGTGTTTGGGGGGCTACAGGATATGTACATCATGCTTGCCAAAAATAATGCACCAACTGAGACAACTCACAGATGTACGTGCAAAGGCAGTAGATGTTGAGTATTGTAAACAATAGGTGTTGAGTACACTGAAAACAAGGCATTCCGAAGCACATTTTTATTTTGTGTAATCCTATTTTTTAGGTTTAACCTGAGGAATAAGGTAAGGAAAAATCATCGGAAGAGCCTGTATGGATATCCAGAAACAAAGAATATTATGTATTATCTTTAAGAGCGCAGCAAAAAAAGATCATTCAATGCAGTCCAGAAGTATGTTTTTTTTATGTTTTTTTAAATTTTAATTTCAAGTTTTTTTCTTTTTGTTTTTTTCTTTTTTTTATGCAATATCTTTAAATTACTTGAAAATGTGTGCTGGGGGTACTCTTCCAGTGTCACGTCAAGTAGGATAACAAACTAAATCATGATTTGTGTCCTCTTCGCTATAACTTTTCTGGTGCCAACGAAAATGTGAGACAAAGAGCCTAGTTAAATCATTTCATATGACAGAGAACCCATTAGTAAATCTGGGGAAGACGTTTGCTAACGACACATTGGATGAGAATAGAATCCTACAGATGATGTCCACTCCAACCACCAATGTGAACAAGGGTAAACGATTGATCCTACGTTAGTAAATTCTTAAAGTAGAATCCGATGATGTGATCTTCTGATTGGTACCCAGTAAAAGCAACAAGGGATGTGAAGTTATAAAGTTTGGTCAAATGTCTCTGAGCAATGATATTGAGCTCTGTCTTCTGTACGATCATATCCCACGAACGTTCTGCAGTTCATCATGGTTTTAAATCAGGAGGGAACAGGTTTACATTTATAGTGGAGCAACAATGCAACCGGAAACATATAGCGGTACATCTTGTATGATGAAATATTACAGCAGTTCTCTAACTGGCCCTTAAGGAGCATTAATGGTCTGAAAATTAAAGGTATCTGGAACAATTAGAGCAATCGATGTTGTTAATAGCCCTTGAGGGCGGTCTGTGAACCATTGATGTATTAGCGATTATTACATCAAAGACAAAAGCACCCCCTCCGCTACCCCGCATGTCAGATCTAATATGTTGCTGCATATTATCTAAAATAGATATCATCTCTCCAGGTTTCTGCTCCTCCATATGTGATGTTATAATGTTCTGCATCAATTCGATACTATTGTTTAAATTAAGGACATCTAAAAACCTATTGAATTAACAGTACTATGGACTAAAATATCCAGGTTATTAAACCAGCCAGAGCACTGTCACCATAACAGGATCCTAAAACAGAGGTGCCCAAAGGGTAGATCTTCAGATATTGTAGAACTACAACTACCATGATGCTTTGCATGCCTTTAGAATGTCAAGACATCATGGAAGTTGTAGTTTTAACCATTGGGGAGTCAACCTTTTGGGGCACCCTTTTCCTAAAAGATGAATATTTACCCT